ACAAGTGTTCTTTGTAGTTGTTGGTTAAATCATTTCCATTGTTGCTATGGTAACCTATATTCAGACTGGCAAATTTTTACACAATTTGTGATGAAGAATTCTAGATATTTTTTCAGAGCAAAAAGCCTACATTCAAAAGAGCACATCTCATTAATAGATTAATTAGAACTTATGTGGATACAAATAATTTTGATCACAAGTATAACCCGAATATTTGAAATAAGCTGTTATCTGCATTCAAGAAAAAAGAAAATGGAAATATCAAAGCAAATTATCTGAAATCATAATTAATCTGTATGTCAGTAGAAGAAAAAGGAAGTGATAATTTCATATTTCCACAACAAATCAAGATTCTTTTTTTTCTATTTTTTTATTATATTTTGTGGACTAGGGAAGAGCATAAGACAAATCAAGATTCTTAAAAGAGAGCAGCATCACTACTTCCAGTCAGAAGTGAGAATCCTTATGCCCATTCCACTTCGCTCTGTCCTTCCTCTCACTCTTCCACAAGATTCCCTGAGCTTGACCTAATATTTGGCTGTGGATCTCTGTTTCTGTCAGCTGCTGGATGAAGATTCTTCAGAAGACGGTTATGCTAGGGCGCGTCTGAAAACATAGCAGAGTATCACTAATAGTGACAGGGTTCGGCTCTCTCCCAGGGTGTGAGTCTCAAGCTGGGCTAGTAATAGGTTTGCTATTCCCTCAAACTCTGCTCCATCTATTTCCCTGCACTTCTCATAGGCAAGACAAATTTTGGGTTGAAGGTTTTATGGGTGGTTCACTAGACGTTCCACAAGGTGACTTCAGACTCCATATCCACTGCTGTAAGGAGTCTTAGCTAGGGTCACCACCTTGGCCTTGGAGGAGCCTACCCTGTCCCAGAGATGCCCACCCATAACCTACTCTGATTTCTGTCCTCTCTTCCAGTCTTCACCCCACCCCCTCACCTCCACCCCAGATCTCTAGATACCTGATCACCACCCCCAATACCCTCTCCACCTCTTCTGCTGCCCAGTTCCTTCCCTCCATTTGCTTCAGATGTCCACTTTATTTCCTATTATGTGTGAGATTCAGGATCTTCTTTAATGCCGTCCTTGGCTTCTTTGAATCAGTAATTATATCATAGTTATATGTATTATACGGCTAAAATCCACTTATAAATGAGTTTATACCAGGATTATCTTTCTGGGTCTGAGTTACCTCAGGAAGAATTTTTTGTTGTTGTTGTTCTAGTTCCATCCATGCATGAAAATTGCATAATGTCTTTGTTTTTAATTACTGAGGACCATTCGACTGTGTAAAGGTACCATATTTTCTTTATCTACTCTTTGGTTGAGGGACATTTAAGTTGTTTCTGATTTCTAGCTATTTATTACCAACAAAGCTTCTATGAACATGGTTGAGAATGTGTCCTTGTGGTATGGTGAAGAATCTTTTAGGTGAATGCCCGGGAGTGGTATAACAGGCAAATGAGTGGCATGTGTTTGTAATCCCGACAGTAGATAAGCATCAAGAGGCACATCCCTGGGACTTGCTCTACAGCAACATTGGCATAACCCGCAAGCACCATGGTAATGAAAGACCTGAACTCAAGGTAACATTTGAATGTTTCTATAGTAACCCTAAAAGAGAGCTTTCCAGTGGTTAGAAAACTAGCAAAGTGTGTCAGAAATGAAGAAGGATGACATTTGTTTATAGAGAAGGGTACCCATCTGTGAAGTGTCAAGTACTGAGACACAGCTTGCAAAGATTTCTGGCTCAAATCAGCAGAGTTCTTGTTACTCAGAAATACAGAACATTCCTCAAGTTGCTCTGCATCAGGTTTCATTCCCTGTAATCTTTTACAATGCAACAGACAAACTTTCCTTTTCTAAAAATAATCAGTAGTTTAGATTTTGAGAGCCACATAGCTTTCCTCCCAACTGTTCAACTCTACTTAATGTTTAAATTATCACAGACATTTTTTTCACGTGAATGATTGACTGTGTCTCAAAAACCCATGAGCTGCAAAATCAGTAAGCAGGGAGGCTATTCTCACATTCTTTGATTTTCCCTTTTCAGCAGTAAACTCACATTTTATTTCTTCAATTTGTTGTATTGACCTACATTTTTAAGTTACACAAATACACACACACACACACACACACACACACACACACACACAAACACTTTCACATCAGCCTCCATATAGTCAATGTGAATTGACCATAACAATCTGAATTGTTATGGTGATTTTACACACAGAGACACACACAGATAAACACATTTGAAACATTAGTGAGTTCATTCCTTATCCAAAAAACAATAATAAAGGTTAATTTGTAATATTTGACATATGGCCTCTAATAAATTACTGTCGTAAAATATTATTGTCTAGAACCACACTACTATGGAGCCAGCATTTATCTGTCTTGTTTTGCTACTTTTGAAAATTAAAGTTTTATCCTATAGCCACATTCTTGTCATTCTGAGCACTTGAAAAATACTGGGTATTCCTTGGTCTTTTAAATTTTAAGAAATGTCTTAGAAATATTTTTATTTCTCAAATTTTGAACCCACAGTCTTCACAATAATTTCACATTGTTTTGTGGACTTTACTTAAGAGTACCCAGGATCCTTTTCTTTACTCAAAAGTACCACCTTGCAGGTGAGTTTCATCAAACACATGCACATACATGTCTTTCTCAGGGTTCATCATTGTTATTTTATGCCAACTATATACTGATTTGACTCAGATCTCAGTTCTCTTTCAGCCATTTTTCCTTTTTTCTATTTTTATTAATTTATTATTACAATTTATTCACTTTGTATCCTAGCGGTAGCTCCCTCATTTCCTTACAGTCCCACCCTCCCTCTCTCATCTCCTCCCATGTCCCTCCCCTAGTCAACTGATAAGGGAGGACCTCTTCCTCTTCCATCTGACCCTAGCCTATCAGGTCTCATCAGGACTGGCTGCATTGTCTTTATCTGTGCTAGGCAAGTTTGTCCCTCCCTGCCCCAGAAGGAGGTGATCAGCCATTTTCAATTTCTCATTTTTCTCCATCAGCCATTAAAGTTTTGTTTTTATATTCAGGCTTTCGAAACTTTGCCAATATTTGCCTAAGCTCAGTGTACCAATGTTTCGCTCAAAACCAGAGTCTCCTTGAAGGTTGTAAATCTTTTTATCTGAAATGAAAAAAAAAATTTTTTTTCTCTTCCCTTATCATTTTCTTTTCTTTTTTCTTCTTTGTTATTGGGAATATACCTTGTTTCCATGACCCTTCTAAAGAATATGTTTTCTACACGTTGCTTATTCTTTAGAACTTGTTATGTTCTCTTATACCAGGATGGCAATCAAGCCTAATTAGTAAATATTTATTATTTTAGGACATATGTGGGGTTTTGTTGTAATTTACTTTTTAATAGAAAACACAACCCTACTCCCCGAATCTCTCTGCTGTGTTACCTAAGCACATCCAGTGTTCTTATAACTGTTTAGTGGAAACTGCCTTTGACTGATGACAATTCTTCCTATTTCAATGTCCCTAGAGTTATCTCAATATGTCGACGGTGGTTTCATGTTTGCTCTTATCCTCTACCACACACTGGCAGCCTACCAACAGATTTCTTACAATTGATGCTGTAGTAAGGCATGCCACATTCATAAAATAGAAGGGACTGAGGCATTGTGATATTGGCCTGTGTGCCCTTGGCAGGGCATGGGGAATTATTTTCAAGTTTTTGCTCACTGAGACTTACCTTTTTTTTTTTTCTTTTATTGTCCTTAGAGACCAATAAAGATGAACATATTCTGAGCATCTGCCAAGAATTGCTAAGGTTTGTCCCTGAATTTTGGTGCAGAGGGAAAAGGTTGGAAAATTGTTTTCCCCCCAGAGGCTCTGGCTGAGAACATCTTGCTCTTAATTTCCACCTGTTCTCTACCAGCTAAAGAGCTACCTGGCTCCAGTTCTCTCAGGAGTTCTAAAATGGCATGCAATCCTAAAAGGGAACAGAAGTGCTCATCTTCCAGTACAAAAGCCTTCTGCAAACATTCACAGGCTTACCTTATCAGTGACTATAGTACCTAATTCAGAATACGATTTTCATATATATTTAAATGAAACCTAAAAATCATCACTCAAAAAATGTGTCCTGAAGACAAGTGGAGTCTCACAAAGCAAAAAATTAATGTGACTGTTTAACTTCATTTTAATTGCTTTCAGGAAATTGATCTATGCAGTGAAAAAAAAAAATAACAGAGATAGAGACCAACCACAAAAATCAGTGAGTAGAGAAAGTTCCTTACAAATTAAAAAAACTTGAGAACTGAATCAAGATATTTTAATTACAATAGAATCATGCACTGAGGTGAATCTTGGATTAATTCCTTGCTAATTTCCTAAAATTCAGAAGCATGTGTGCTTTATGCTGTCTGCACATTGAAAATGAGTAACATGGTTTTGTATTTTTATGAGTAACATGGTTTTGTATTTTTTGAAATATATATGCAAATGCTTAGCATATGAATATATTTATTGGTTAATAAAGCAACAACACCCAATACTAATGTTATTATGATTAATAAGGGCTGTGGGAATATAGAGGAAGTCGGAAGAAGTTCTAGATGGCATACATTCTATCTTCAAGGCAGTTCCTACTGAATGTATTGGAATTTTATGTTACTCAATATGAAAGAAAATGTACATATTCAATATTAATTCCAATTAAGTAAGAATTACACATGTCATCCAATTTATGATTTTTTAGCTTGAACTGTCCAAACTATGATCTATGCATCCACGTTCAGAAATTTATATCAATAAAGAATATAACATTCAGTAATGGATAAGTCTTTATGCTTTCTAACATTTTAGAAGTTAAATATTCTAACATTTTAGAAGTTTCTTAAATCCTCCCCCCAAAAAATAAACGTATCCATTTAGAAACTGTTTTTTCAAAGATAACTTTTCTGTTACCAATTATGTGAATTAATTTCTGTACTATAAAAATAATTTTCTTACCCATATCTGACATTTCAGGAACAGTAACAATATATGGTCCATCTGTGAACTTTGGAGCATTGTCATTGATATCTTGCACTTTGATGATGAACTCAGACTCAGGTTCAAGGGGCTTGTTGGTCCGTCTGTCAATGGCTTGGGCATGAAGCACATAGTGAGTCTTCTGCTCTCTGTCCAGGCTTTTGGTGGAGTGGATGTCACCCGTGGTGTCATCAATGATGAAGATAGTCCCAGCACCTTCTCCAGTGAGGATGTACTTGACAGACCCATCACCTTTGTCAGAGTTGGAGTGTAACTGAAAAATACACATAGAGGAGCTCAGCATTGCTTACATTCTGATGGCATATGTTCTCTGAACAATGACTTGAAGAGATTAGGAATTTTAGTTGTTTTCTATACTGTGAGCTTCCTGTTACAGCAACCATTTCCTTTCTTACAGTTTTCTCTAGTTGGTGTTAAGTGGACATTTCAACTTTATTTCTCTGAGATTCAGTAACTATTTTAAAGAAACTGATAAACTGTGGTTTTTGTTTTAATATTTTTAATAATCACATCTTTGTTTCTTCCAAATCAACGTTACACTATATAATATGAAGGAATCAATATTATACTATGTAATAAAATGGAAAAGATATTTCTACTACATCACTATTGCTTCCCATGCTTGGGGAAATACTCTTTTCATAAGGAATTATTATGAAAATTAACTGACATTGTTTTAACATTAAATCTTGAAAAACTGAGATGAAACAGATGTTAAAAATTAATTATCGATTTTTCAAAAGACCAGATTTGTCACCAAGGTGCTAACTTTATAAGTTTTAGAGTATAAACTATAATATCATTTAACATAAATGTTTCAAGCTACAAATTATACTTTGTGTCTGAAATCTTAGAAGATAGTTTAAAAGTAAATTATAGAAAAATGGCAAAATATAAGGAAAAGTGGGATTTTTCTGGGTAGATGATAGCAACCCAAATGTATTTAGTATCATGTCAATGATAATTTCTGTTCTCTTTTTCATAAACATAAAACATGTAACATATATACACCTAATGGAAAATACTTAGCTAGAATCAGCACGCAAAATAACTACAAAAATTTTTATGTTGGTATCCTTTAACTTCTGAAAGATTAGCAAACTATAGAAACACATAGTTTTCATGAATTCTTATTGATATAGTGAGTGTGTTCTAGAACAAACCTGCAGAGAGAATTGTGTGGAGACAATTGTGTGCATGCATGGAACTGTACTTATTTTTTTCTGCCGATCTCCTGACAAATCAACTACCTAGAACAAAATGTTTATCATTTATGAAAGGGACACTGGAAATCATTGACATAGCAACACATTTAAACCATTTTCCATCTTTGCAACAATTCGTGCCTAACACATAGCAAAAAATCAAAGTAGTTGTTCAAAGGTTTCTAAAAATTTTTCTAGAACATTTGTTGCTGAAATAATAAAATGAGAGACAGTGTGGTAAATATTTTGTTTTAAAAATACAATTTAATAATATTGATAATTATGACTTACATACTTGTCACAAAATGTTTTTGCTATTATAGAACTAATTTCAGAAAGTCATGGCCATGATTAAAACAGAGAAATCTTCAGGATATATTCAGAATCACCTGTATACTCAGGGAAATTACTGTGAAATTTATTTTTGAATTTAATGCACATGCTTTATTTAAAAAATAAAATAAAACACACATGTGCAAGAATCACAAGTATTAAAGTTATCAGTATAAATCATATATGCAGTTTTCTGCTGTATTTTGTACAAATTTTTTAAATTAGTAAGAGAAAGTAAAAATGTCAGTGATTTTATGAGTTTGAGTTTTCAGGCATGAATCAGGTACAATAATCATATTTTTACAACTACTAACCCACTCAATATGTATTTCCCAGAAGTTATGATTAATTTTATTCCGGTTTATGAATGATGATTAGAAATATTTATAAAATTACTAATAGTTACACCAAAATATTAAAAAATATACTAGGATTTTTGCTTCAGTTGTTTATAATACTTAGTTTTAGTATTAATGGAGGTGATTATTTCATTAATGAAGTTTACTCCTTGCAAACTTGATTGAATCATGAAACCATCATTTCCAAATGGCAATTATGAAAACTATTACATTAGCATTTAGTCAATTGATTAATAATTTATATAATTGTATGATAACTGTTTCTGAAGGAGCAAAGTGATCCACTCGGTATTTCCCTTCCTTGTTCCATCCTTTCTGTTTTTATTTCTGATTGCCAAACTCACTCTGCAATAAAGTTTGAGCCTAAGATAACTATAATCATTGTACTGTGGATTTTTCTTTAATAAGAGATTTATAAGTACTCAGATGGTTCACAGGATGTGTATCAGGATTTAGGAAGCAAGAGCTGACAAAAAGAGGAATGTATGAGAGTATTAGTACTAAGAGAATGAAAAGGAGGCACATATTGGTGGGGGTTGATTTGAAGGACGAAACGTAAAACAGACAGGAAGTTTTGAAAGTGGAATGTCAACAAAAATCTTTTATTTTGCATGTGGAGTTCACAATCAGATATTAATTAAAAACAATTAAGGATAGAAAATGATGGACATGGGGAGGGGCATGCATGCAGAAAGGAGGGGGGAGGGTGGGACCAGGAGAGGAGGAGAGAGGGGCTTACGGGGGGATACAAAATGAATAAAGTGTAATTAATAAAAGTTAAATTAAAAAAATATTCAAAATATAGGTAGAACTCTGTCTTAATAGCTACTAAAAATGTTATCCATTTACATGCAATTTTAAAACTAAATTACATAATATTATTTGGAAAATATAGGTAATTAGCTCTAGTTATGCTGACATATTTCTCTGATAAAAATCTCTTGACACCATAGTGACTGAACTTTTGCTAGACCCTGCAGCTAAGTTAAAAACATGCCTTTCGAGTATTGTAGTGTATCTCATATCCATTGTGTGTTCAGCCTGATAAGGTTTAATATATCTTTAAGAAAGAAGAAAAAAAAAACACATTACAACCAAACTTGTTTATGCTTGGATTTCCCATGCAATTATCTTTCACAACTTAAGCTAAAACCTTAATCTCAGAGGTGGGGCAAGATGGCGGCACCAGGAGGACTCTCATTCTGAGCAGCAGCACAGCAGGATTGGCACAGTGACCAGCAATCATAACTTGCAGCCATAAAACACAAGTGATTGTGTTTCACATGTGAGAGGATACCCCACGGTGGGAGATTCAATCAGCTTTAACTCACCCAGCTAAACCGCTGAAGAGATCCTGGTTCCACCAGGCGCTTGGTCGCCAGCCCAGGGCTACACACCAGCGTGATCTGGTCACTGTCTCAGACTGAACTGTGGGCCCAGAACATCACAGACTGGATTTTCCAGTCGAGAGATAACCCCACGGAGCAGGAAAAGATTGGGACCAACCTTACGTCACCCAGACATCTCCCGGGAAAAGACTGGGGTTTTGCGGGTGCCCCAGGAGCCAGCCAGGAGCCAGAGCCAGGGACCCAGGTGCCTGCATGGAGCCCTGCCTGCGTTCCTGATTCCCTCAGATAGAACTGTGGGCACCAGTGCAACAGGGCACCAGGGCACCAGAGACTGCGTTTCACTGTCAGGTGCAAACCCACAGGGAGGGAAACGGCTGGTCTGATCTCAGAGCACTCAGCCCCCACCCGAAAGGGTCTCAGGAAAATTATCCAGTTTAGGCAGACGCCCATGCTCCCAAAGGCCAGAAAGGCGGAGCCACGGGAGGGCATCTGTGCCTGTGGGTTCTACTCGCCACCCCAGACAGAACGGCAGTCCCCAAAGCAAAGACTGGGTGTCTCTGGCAGGAGGAAACCCCCAGCGGGGGGATCATCAGGTCTAATGCTCAGGACACCCAGCACCAAAAGACTTTCTGGATTCACGCAGACTCTAGGCTCTAGCTTTCTAATGCAAGCAGGAGCGCTGTGCTCAGCCGCCATTATTGAGTTCCTCTAAGGCACTGGGACACACAGCTGCATCCTCAGACCTACAAAAGCCAGAGAGCCATTACAGCAGCCCTCAGATACTGTGCCAAGGGTAAACCAGTTATCCTTAGCTAGACTGACAAAAATGTGGGAATCCCTGGTACTTCAAGAGGGCTGCGCCAACAGCGTCTGGACCAGAGCAGTGCCTACAACCACCATCCCAGACAGGGACACACAGCTTCTGGTCCAGAGTGAGGCACCCAGCCTCCAGATCAGAGCGGCGCCCTCAGGCGCCAACTCAACCTAGGTGCACATTCTCCAGACCCAGAGCGGAGCAATCAGCCTCTGGCCCAGAGACTTGCTGGTCGCACCTCTCAGTTTCCCAGACAGAACTGTGTGCCCCAGGATAACAGACTGAGTTTCCCTGTTGGGAGAAAACCCCACAGCTAGGGAATCAACCGGTTCTTCAAGAGGACTGTACCTGGAAAACTGTAACAGCAGCAACTCACTAAATTTATAATGAGAAACCCAGCAGTGGGGCAGCTGTCTTGAGAAATTCTATGGGTAAGAGGAGATCTCCCCTGCCTAACAAAGACCACAGCTACTACTCAGGGCTATAAACCTGAGGTGAGCAGTGACAATTCCTGAGAAACACTGGCCATACAGTGACCATAACCAAAAAGCAGAGGAGGACTCCTTCAGGAAAAATCATCTTCTGGCCAAGGGGATGCTCGCTACCTCAGGACTCCAGGAAGCACAGAAACTAACACCCAACACCGAAATCAGCCCAATGGGTAGAGTTCAGCATAAAAGCTCAACCAACAAAAGACAGAGCAATATGGCATCTCCAGAACCCAGCCATCCAGGGTCGAACAGCCCTGGACAACGCAGCATAATAGAAAATCAAGAAGATGACCTTACATCTATCTATGCTGATGAAGAGGGTAGTAGAGGAAACAGATGAAATACGTAAAGAAATAGAGGAAGATAAAACCAAACAGATCATGGCTATCCATAAAGAAATGGAGGAAGTTAAAGACAAGCAGGTTATGGCCATCAGTAAAGAAATACAGGAAGATGCAGCCAAGCAGCTTGCAGCCTTCAGAGAAGAAATAATTAAATCACTGAAAGAAATAAAAGGAACAGAGTTGAAGGAACTAAAAGAAAAAGAGGAAAATACAAGCAGACAGGTGAAGGAAGTAAACAAAACTACTCCAGACCTGAAGATAGAACAGGAAAAATTAAAGAAAACACAAATGGAGGAAATAATGGAGAGGAAGAATTTAGGGAAGGAAACAGGAACTACAGAGGTAAGCATACCTAACA